AAGCTGCTTTACATTTCAATCAATAATGTTAAAATACCGGTTGTTTCCGAATGCAAAAGCTCCGGTGTTATTTTTGACAATAAATTGACGTTCAAGACTCATGTTTCAAAAATTATACAAAAGGGTTGTTATAACTTAAGGAACTTATAAAAAAACAAACATATTCTTATCAGAAAGTCAAAAAAAATCATTGTCTGAAGCGTTGGTCTTCTGCCACACAAACAATTTTGTACTTGGTCCCTGTTTGGATTTAGCCACTAAAACTAAACTACAAAAAGTGCAAAACTCATGTATTCGTTTCATGTTCAATGTAAAACCTAAAGACCGTGTTAGTGAAAAGTTGAAAGAATTACGACCAAAAATAAGTAAAGCCATGTCTCAGAATTCATTTTCTTATGTGTCTGCTAAGTTGCTAAACCGATACCCCGAGATAAGCCTGCTGGGAAAGTCATCCAGAGCGTCTTTTAAACAAAATTTTAAAAAGAAACTGTTAATGGAAAATATGTAGGTTGATTTTGGTACTTTTGTTAAATGTAGATTAACCTTGTCAGTTTTAATAATTTAATTATTTTATTTATTTATTTACGATATTTGTTGTAAAATTTGCCTTATTGTAAGTTGATTTATGTTTGTGTGTACAGCTCAGCTGCCCTTGTGAAAAATACAGGCTTTTTTATTTATTTATTTATTTTTATTTGGTAAATTGGGGATAATTAGACATTAATAAAAACCCGTATATCAACTTTTTTTGAGAGTTTAGTTATTTTGTTAATATTTTAGGTATAGGATGAAGATATTGAGATGCGTTTTCACTGTGTTTCCTAAAAAATATATGCGGACGATGTGGATTTATTGTTTGTTTATTTGCAGTTGTTTCATGTGTTTTTATACTTTATGGGGCGATTCAGATCTAGGATCCTGTTGTAAGTTCAGGAGCAAGCAGGACATAGGAAACATTGATTTTGATAGACGATAATCTATGTTTTAGAAATAATTTGACAAACGCATATATACCCGAATATTGAATTTATAAAACTATTTCGATGATATTTATTATTAATATGGCCGTATCCTAATCAGAAAAGGTTCCCTTCGTTAAATCTGCAAAACTTTTAATAGGTCATGCATGGCGAATTAGCACGCGCTCTGTGCGTAAAAACACAACAAGGATAGCAGTGCCATCGGCATGTTCTTTGCATTTTCGTCGGTTGAAATCCTCTTTCCGAAATTGAGAAAAAAGAGACAACGGGTGGTGGTGATCATCAAGAAGTGGGAGCTCCCGCGACCCGACAATCCCTTGACCTTATTTCAATTCCATTTCCATTTCGCTTCTTGATACGTATCCCTGGATTAATTTCTGGCCAAGTAAGGTAATGAAATTAAAGACTTTTTTCCAATATTACTTTAGGCTGGAGAACAAATCTTTATGACTAAACCTATAAGTGCGAACTAAATATTAATTTAGTTTTTAGTATCGAATAGGCCTTAGCTCTAGTAAGAGATAATGTCACTTGCTTATCTTCTTACATACGTTTCCTACCCATATCAAGTAACTAACTCCCTGTCGACAATTAATGCACCCATGGACTTCACCGCTTCCCACTTTGTAAGAAGGACCTGTGAGCTCCAAACGGTATATTTGTATATAATTAGGGAAAGTGCGGGTTCACTGTTTTATCAGCATTAATGACTAATTTAGTCCTACACCAAATGGTAAACGCTGCAGATCTATCCCTCACACATTTCTGAAGCTGCTTATTACTATTAGAGATTCTATATATAATAAGAAACATCGTTTAGAATTTTGTTGTTTTAAACATGAAATGTAATGGACATTGTTTTTGTATTCGAATCAAATTTATTTTCTTCGATTCGATTCGATTTTAACATTATATCACACGGGTCAGTGAACAATTTAAACTCGCAGTAAAAATATTGTTACATCTTCGTCTTGCGCATTTAGCACACGTCCCGGTTAATTGTTTAATTTTCACAGGCTGTAAAAATTCCTACCGTGAGGTCTGTGCCGAGTCCTCTTGCATGAACCTTGCGTCCCGTCAAGTGCTTTTACTGTTCCATGCTCCGGGAGCTAACGTAGAAACGTTTTCTGTGTAACTCTACGCGAGCTAATTCTGGCTAAATGCCTTCGTGGGGTTTCAAAGAGATTGCCGTTAAGTATTTGCAGCTAATAGCGCGTAGAAGAGGTAATACTGCGATATTGCAGGAATTTTCGGGATAGTTTTCGCGTTTGCAGGAATTTAAATGCAAACATAGATCCGGGAAATAATTTCGTTTCAATGAAATACGCAGCACGTAACGTTATTTTGAAATTCATTTTACGTTCTGAACGAGTTGCAACGTTACACAAAAATATCAAATCTGTGGAAAAATAGGTATTTAAATTTGAAATTTTGGAAAAATATGGAATATGCCTTGGCACGCCTATGTCACTCGCGTATCGATTAACACAATCATAAATTTTAAATTTTTAATAATGCTTGTATTACAAAAAAAAAATTCACATTTTAGGTTACTAATGAAAAGAATTGTTTTATTTTCACAAGCAAAAAGTAAAAGATGACAATATATTCTGAAATATTATGCTATTTGCAAAAACCAATACGACTGCCAAAGTAAAGGAATGAATGACATTAAGAAATAGTTATTTTCTTTCTGTTTCTCTTCTTTTGCATAGCTCTCATCGACTCATGGACTTAAATTGCAAACACCAATTTATTAATCGTAAAATGACAATAAAACGTTGGAAAAAAAACAGCTCGTTAGCACCTTTAACTACTGAAATATTTTAACAAGCAAAACTTTATCCGCTTATTTGCCTGGCATTAACTCCCAACACATTTATTATTTTGATTATGAATATCTAACGTATTTATTATGCCCAAGAATATCTTACAACGTTTCCTTAATTAGCAATCTTACAAATAAACAAGATGCTACTTCTACTAAACTTCGCAGTTTAGCTTGGAAATTCCGGATTTTATAACCTCCCAAGTTTTAGTTACAAAATCTTGTTAATCTGAGTTGTTGAAATTATTATAACGTCTCGAGGAATGCCTAGCGGATTACTTAAAGTATTAATTATTTTAATCTTTTTGAGAACATCGATTTTCAGTTTTGAGATATCTACTTTAAATTTTGTTGGTAACGAAAACGGTCGAACATTTAAATAGTTTTAAATACTGTCTACGTCCAACATCGGAGATGGAATGGCCTCTGAAGAAGCTCGCCACTCGTGCTAGCGAAACGTTAGGAAGTAATTCCAATCGACGACGGCCTTTAAACCCGAATGAAGATAATAGCTTATCAACGGGCCGCGAAAGCCTTAACCAATTTATCAATATGGAGGTGTCTAAAAACTTTACTTAAGATAAAATAAAATTTTACACAGCGATAAGATTTTTTTCCATCTAACATCCATTATTCCGAATATTGGATAGTATGGGATTTTGGTTGATTTAAAAATTATAAAATATTTAAAACTAACCAAAATTTACGAAAAAACAGAAGAAAAAAAAAAAAGTAGTTACCTTAATAGTTTTCACAACAAAAAATTCTTTTCTGGATGTATGTATGCGATGTATTTTCCATTTTCGTAATCGGTATATATTTATTACCGTTCACTAAGTTCTTTATTTACTAAATTTTCTAATGAGGTTGAGTTAAACGTTCTCAAAATGTTAGTATTCATTTACCCCATAAATTCTGTTCCAATTATTTCTACTTTAATTACATCTCTCTCTCTCTCTCTCTCACGCTCCCTCCCTCCCTCTCCCGCTCCCCCCTCTCCTTCCCTCTCCCCCTATCTTTATCACTCCCTCTCCCTCCCTCCCTCTCTCTCCCAACACGAAATTGGCGTTGACGATATTTGAGAGTAGTTAGAGAGAAAACAGAAATATCTTTTATCTGGATAAATGTAAAAGATTAATAATTACTCAAATTGGTAGCAAAAATAGGTTTGTTGGACGTGGTTTATATTTCATTTAGAACGGACTGGAGACTATCCTGAACACATGAATGATTTTGTTTTTGGAGACTATTTCCAGCCAGTGATAGATCTTATTTCCAGTGGATCTGTTATAGTCACGCCAGACCACTCTAGAAAATCTGATAAAATACACACGACTTCTTAAAAAAAATGACATCACAAACGCATAATAATTTATGCTAAAATACATATTGTTATTAAATGATTACAGATAACACCCTACGATTGCAAGATGTTATTCAAAACATTTTGATCGAATTTGACTAGTCAGTTTAAAAGTGGTCAATTGACAGTCAATTGACTATGTAAGTAAGGGTTCGTAGCAAGGTGTAACGACTATAATTCATCTGATTACTGTGAACACGGTCACTAAAATTTACAAATCAAGTTGTACTGTAAATAGTAGATTTTTTTAAATAATAATATTTATTACAATTTATCTATTTTATAATAATATTATTACTTCCATATAAGTTTTGATTGGCTTGAGCTTAGGACAATTAATTTCTCAATTACATTCCCTTCTCTATAATTATATTCATGTGTAATTATTATTATAACAAAACCACCAGGAGTAACGCCGCTATCACAGCACTTTAATTAGTGTCACCCTAAGTTATGATAACTGTACCGTACAGCTGACTGATAAAGAATCTTCTTTCTTACCACCACAACGGAAACTTGTATTAGTAAGGATATCCGAAATTGTAAAATTCCAATACAGCTTCCACGAAAAAAATCAGTAAATCAGTAAATACTGCTTCCAAGTTTACATTGATCACCTTACGTAATACTTGATATTTCGAATTCCCGAAACTCGCCAATATATAATTACTTGTGCAGCTTTAAAAACTTCAGACCGTTGTTCTAACTTTCACGAAAATTTCAATAATTCAGTTTGCTTTAAAATCACCAATACGTCGATATTCGACGCATTTTCTACGGATACAATGAGGGGCGGCCTTAAGAAACAATATGTATTTCTTTGTTGCAGTGGCGTACGTGAACTTGGGGGCAGCTTTAATAGCAGCCGGCAGATGTCAGGAGGCTGTCGCCATTCTCCGTCAAGGGTCTCGGCTAGACGGCACTGGCCTCAAGGATCGCAGGGAACATGAGAACGCCAAAGTGTCAGCACTTCTGCAATTGGGCGCGTTGTATTCGGACCAGGGGCGGTTGCAGAGGGCGCTGGCCGCGTACAGGGAAGCGGCTCACAACTTGCCAGATAATTATCCACCCCAGGTATGTCATTTTTTGACAAAATATTTTTTGCCATTGCTTTTTAATTGCCATTGCCGTGAAATGTCACATTAGCCGCAAGAGAAGGAAAGAAGCCATAGCTCGTGAAAGAGTTTTAGCACGAGGCATAATGAATGTATTAATTGTTTCATTCGTATTTACACAGCAAGTAACGCTGTGCAGATAAATACATTTTTAAAAAAACAACTTGTATAAAAATAATCTGACTGGAATTGACGAAGTGGTTTCGTAGAAATTTTGGACCATAAATTGCTTTAAATAAATATTTTTATAATTATAATTTTTATAATTATGTTAACATTCAGATTTCAATCAATTTTTTCAAATTATATACTTTCAGATAAAGCAGAAGATCTATCCGGCGTTCCTTCTGAGTGTTCGATTTTCACACTTCTGTTATATTGCTTTAGAGTTCTCCTAAAGCAGTAACTTAACACTCAGATAAATTGCCCCAAACCAAGGCGGTACTACTTGCAATTGATAAAAAGATAGAATTTAGAATAACATCAATACCAATCAATAAAATTGGCTTAAGTAGTTTTTGAGTCACTCTGTAGTCCTTACACCTTACACCTCTGAGTTTAACGTGAAGGTAGGCTGATGAGTAATTTTATAAAATTTCAGACGCACAAAAAATCATGCGTGGATCGCAGCTTTGCCCAAGAAATTGCGTTCAGGATGAAGTATTTAAACCAATTAAAATTAAACTAATGAGCGACACACAATACGTTAATGTGATATGCAGTTATATTTCATGGCATTAAAAAAATCAATATTTCTTTAGATACCTACAATTAAAACAAAAAAACAGAATTTATTCAATTATTTTTATGTGGGTTGTCAGGATTTACTTAATTAATACTGTTAATTATTAACAAAATTTACGAGCAGCTGTTCGGCTGTCTCAATTGTCGGTGAGGCGTGGGCCGAGTAGGCGAGTGAAACTTAATTTCCCAACAAACACTTTATTCAAAACCAAGAGAGAGGAGGGCCTGAGACTCAAAAACAGTAGCCTTCGCTCAGACATCAAATATTACGCTTGCCGCAGAGCTCTCGACATTACATGCTTTAAAATTCCAATTAAATAAAAACTATCCGTGGAACTAGGGGCGTTGGGCGGGTAGGTACTTATCTGTGAAGCGTCTGATCGGGGCCAAGTGGCTTTACTCTCTCTACAACTATTTGTCTGCTGCAACCATATACAATTTGTTCCACCAGGCTCAAGCTCCAGTGGGCGCGATCTGTGGCCGCGACCGTGCGTGGACGTAATCCGTGGATAGTGAGTAGGAAGATCCAGGAGTGAAGTGGTTAAAACAATCCTTGATGTGATCCAACGAGCAGTGCAAATAGTATACGGGAAGTCAAATTAAAAAGGAAAAAAAGAAGAAGGCCTTAAAGAGAATAAACGAAAAATTACTACGGGTCGACAGCGCGAAATAGTAAGTGGATATGGCTTACCGTCGATGTGAGGTGGCCTTATAGGTTGAGCGTTATCCTTGAAAACCTCTCTCCGCTAAATCCGACCAAGTCGGGGGTACAAACGACCACGTCTGTTTACCCACTTATTCCGGAGATCAGGGTTATCAGTATCCCTCTAAATCCGCAATATGCGTGAGCTTTAAGCGACTCCTTACAAAAACAGCCTGGACAAGGGAAAATTTACAGGAAGCACGCTGCTTACCGGCGGGAAAAAGAACACCAGAACAGCCAAAGAAAAGAAAATGGAATAGAGAACGATCGCCGCTACCACCATTACAACGCTATGCCACAGACAACAGCTAGCAATTCGCTGGTCAATGCTTTAATTCCGCCAGGGAAATATAACGTTATTCGCAACCAATTGAGTTTTTGCAGGTCTGTGGCCACCACCCGTTCCGCGCATAGGGTACGCAGTACTGTGCATCAGCTGTTTTCGTTTACTTTAAAACAAATAATAAATTTCCAAATAAGCACCGAAACGAAGGAAATGCTGCTTTTAAACGGAGTTTTAGAAACCGGGAGAGTTTACAACCCTCGGCGCGCCCACCGTCCGTTACTAGTTGGTCGTAATTCGAGCCATTTCAGGTATTAGCAGCGCTACAAAAATTATTTATGCTACACACATACAAGGCAAGACATCATATCCTATATTTTAACAAACCAAGCAGCCTTCAGGTACCACGATAAAAATTGGTATTATCTGCTCAAGGCTTGTAGCATTTAAAGATTCATTTTAGATTGGACCGGAACCTATCAAAATTATGCACTTTATAACATGGAATTTGACTGAGCGTAGCGGTTGTCACAGTTTAATAAGCCCCATCGATCTATAACCTACCTCCCCCAAGGGTAAAAATGAAAAGAGAAATGGCATACGAACAAAACAGAAATAAAATTGTAACAATACTTCTAGATATATGTTTTAGTGTGAGCACGTGACCTAAAATTCGTTGAAATTCCAAGGAATTTTAGCAAATCTCAAAGCATGTTCACATAATAAAACATATCTAGTTCACATAAAAGTAATCCTAGCACTAAAACCACAATCGAATCAGCGACATAGCAGCAAACTCTCGATTGGCTCGCGACAGTATTTACTGGGCACGTATGATCACCAGATGACGCATAAAGTGATAAATATTCACGCTTGATCTGCCCATAATTGCATATAGAGTGGAAAAAGGGATTTTACCAAAAAAATCGTTTTACGAAAAACTGGTGACTTTTTCTCCAATTTTCAACAATAATTTTGATATTTAAAGAAATCACCTATCGTTTTTCTTTCAAAAATATTGTTACAGATGGGGTATTTACCTTAAGCTAAAATAAAATTTCTAGGGAGAGTTTCAATACTTGTCTGACGGTGTTGTCCGTGTGAGATCAGTTGTAGTCTCGAGATAAGTATTGGACACTAAACAGTCACTAATCTCGTCAGCAGGACAATTTAGCGTCGACTTGAGAATCAAAACGCGGTCATCTGGGTATCTTGCTCGAGAATTTGCGCGTTTTTCATTAGGAGTACTTGGAAATAACTGGATCGACAAAATGCTTGTTCTGCAGCGCAACTTAACCTGGTTTTTAGTTTAGTCGAATACCAGATCGACAGATTGCCTACGAGTCCCATCTACTATATATGCTTTGGACCAAATCAGTATATAATACAGTTTTATTTTTCTCATCTAGTTCTCGCATAAAAGTGTAACGTTGAAGATGACTAATTGGTCTGTGATGCATTTTTTTTTAAGGTTTAGATCTCGAAACTAGTACACATTCTTTATGGATATACCAACTTTCATAGTTTTTGTGAACATAAAAGGCCTTAAATAAATAAAAAAACTTGGTCAGTGTAAAAACGGACGTACACAGTGTATATGATATATTTGACGGTCCATAAAAAGTCCTGTTGCTTCTAAAAATCGGTCCAATGTTATTTATCTACAGCCAGTTCCACGCTTATATTGTCATGAATATGTCCACTTATGACGCATGTAGCGTTAGCGACTTGTCTCCAAGAATGTTCTCAGACCCATTTCCATTCGATGAGATTATTTTGTCCCAAATGGACAGTTATCTATATTTAACGAAAGCCGCGAGCAAAAGCGCGTTCGCTGTCAAACGGCGGGATAAAATTTGCGGTAACGGTCGGTGGGCAAGTGAAAATTGAAAAGGGCGAACAATACGCCGAGCGGGGACAAAACCTGTCGCCCCGTATATTAATTATCGCCATAATTATCTACTTTAAACAAAACGGGAACGTAGTTAGCTTGAGGTTCCCGTTCGCGCCGGCGACTGAAGGGAATCCTCGGGAGAACTAATTAGTAAAGTTTCGGGTTTTGGAACAGAAGGGACACACTGTTGGTGTTTCACAATCACGGCGCCACGGTCGTCGTTATTATGAAAGTTAGGGTAATACGAACGAAGTTGGCTGTGGACACACAGAGCACAGTATCGCATTTATTCCGACCCTAAAGCGTATACGAATGAATTGAATATAGTAAAGTGAATTTCGACTTTCAATTGAAGCTCTGCCGGAAGCGCTCTAGCGATAACATTTCGGCAAACCCATGCGGCACTGAATTACGAATGTCGACGCTTAACTGGTTAGTACCAGTGCAGTCCCGATTGTTAATTTCCATCGATGAATCTCTTCTTCTAATAGGGCGATAAATTAAACGGTGTCGCGAATTTCAGTACATAGATTTAAAGGGCGAATTTATTAGCCGAAAATAAGTTTGTTTTTTATTTAAGCATTCGTCCTTATTTGCTTTGTTTTCGAAATTCAAGACACCAAAGTGTGTTCTTTAGAGCGTTGAATAAAGCACTTCTTCCTTTGATGTGTCCATGGTCTATGGTATTTTCATCATCTTTGGATTTTACAGGCTTCCATCTTATTTTGTAAGATGAACTAACCAGATGTAATGTCTACAGAATGTCTTTCGGGTGTAGTTCGATGAAAGCACTGCGGGATCTTCAATATTTTGATCGGGAAGGAGGATGTATCAGCATATCGAATATTGTTTATGGTTTCGCCTCCAATTTTAATGCCTTGACCTATATTCATTATTGTCTGGAATATTTTTTCTGAGTCAAAGCAAATCTATACCGTTTTTCTAACCTCTCGGCATCTATCCGGAAGATCCTCCATATAGAATAGGACTTATCGTGTTCGTATAACTTATCTGAATCGTAGCTGTTCGTCAATGATTGCCTGTTAACACTTATTCTGTACTTTGTTTTGAATAATTCGGAAGACAGTGACTCTTTAGGCTGATAAGTCCAAAATGGCCGTAAATTTTAGGAGTTGCCTTCTTTTGTGTGGTTACAAACACATATTTCAGCCTTTCCACCATGTGACTCCCATCTAGACGATTTAGCTCCTGTATATTTCGTGCAATACAGGGGCTTTACCTTGCTTCAGTTGTTTCATTGCTTGATCTACCTGAGTTTGAAATGGTTGAGGAGCGTGCCGTGTATCCTCAATATTCTCGTTGTTTTAAGTATTT